TAGGGGGGGGGGGGGGGATACTTACTTATTGAACGCCCCTCGTAATAGAGAGCTTTTGGCATCGAAAATTGAAAAATCAACATTGTAAGTCCCATTTAACCTGTAACACAGTTTTTCATTATGTTTATTAATCTAAGAAATCAGTATACGCTAGTAATTGTGGATAGAAATTTCAACTAAGAAATCAATCATTCTTTTTCTTCCAAAACTTTTGGGAAAACTCCAGCAAATTGTAAGTTTGCAAAATGGTAAGTCTACAGAAAAAACTGAGGGGTAGAAAGAATTAGGTATAAATTGATAAAATAGAAATTCATGAAATTAAAAAAGCTGGAATTATTTTTTTGAAAAAGCGAAAATTCCAGAAGGCGATGTCGAATTTCCTCGATTTTCCCTCAAAATTCTATTCCCTGGGTTTTCCCTGTTTTTCTTGGTAGTAGAAGCCCTGACTGATGCATAAAATTAAAGTATAGTCATTATTTTGACATTTTCTGATTATTTCATTTTTAATAGTACATGCATTTTCAGATTCCATAATTAGTTTTTGGTTTTAATAGAATCAAGAATAGCATGAAAGCCAAGTTCCCTCCATACCAAGGTCTCTGAAAGTTCTTTTGTGACTGAAAAATAGAGTTGGGCCGGGTATCCGGCAATTATCCGGATTTCCGGATGTCCGTCTGGAGCCAGATACAATTCTTGCGGGTATCCGTACCCGGCCGGATAATCGCGCTATACGGCTTTTAGAACCTTCCGGATAGTGCTTTTTCGGCCGAAAAAATTTAAATAAATCTTTTGTGATATTTGGATGCGTTTTGGCGCACTTTGACTAGACGAGGTAATTGTTCAACTTTTCGAAACTTGTTATTACCGGAATTAAGTACATTTTCCGCAAATTAATATGATCACAACATGATTCTTAATTTTAAGTCCGCATCTTTCACTTTCATAAACAAAGATGCAGGTGGAAGAGACAAAAAAAAAACAATGCCACCAACATGTGTATAAGTTCCCCATTGGTGACGTTTTTAGTCCGAGCGTAACTCCGCAATTATTGTAATGTCACAGAAGTTTGTCATTGCAGTATCAAAATAAAGGCCGATTAAGTTCGTGATCCTTTGAAAAATCCATTTCTTCTGTTCATTTAGAGATTCTCATTAACAGAGATTAACCGAAAATTTTGCCATCAAGACAGGCATGCAGAAGTGCTGCGAAATCTGACCGGCAATCGGTGATGGTGCTCTCCAAAGTGTGAAGTTTTTTTATTGTTTTTTTTACAACTTCAAACAGCCCACGAGGGCTAATCCTTGCGCTTTAGTCCCGTCCCCCTCTGTCCCTACGACCAGTCTCAGGCAACCATTGTTCCAACCAAGTTGGCAGCACTGTTTTCCACTTTTGTCTTGTGTACACTTCTGATAATATCTTTCTTCCTGCACATTGTGGCCCATCACACCGTGAATCCAATGAAAGCTATGCTGCTCATCTGCCAAGTCATTTTTTTAGAGTTCGTTTTGGCAGGCCGACTCATCGTGTGTCTTAGAAAAATAAGGAGCTTGCCGGTACACAGGCACACACATCGTGGATGACGGTCTTGATGGTCTAATTCACAGTGTGCCTTGCGCAAAATCGAGAGATTTTTTTCACGGGAAAAAGCACCATCTGGGTCCTGTATTTTATCCGGTTCCGGCTGGGTACCTCGGCGAATTATCAGGTATACGGCTCCTGTCGGGCACAAAAATTAGTATCCATATCCTGAGACGCGAAAAATCTATTTCCGTTTAACTCTACTGAGAAGGTTCGAAATGTAACTACATGTAAGGTTGATGGACCCAGGTCAGTTCGTTAACAAGATGTTCTTTGGAATTCCCTGATCTGACAACGAATTCTCCTGATTAGCTGCTTCACTACTTCCCAAACGTTTCCTAGATTTGCGCTGCTCCGTTGCACAGTTCTGCCTTAACCTCCAATAAGAGCAAGTAAGACCAATGTAATCAGGTTGGGGGAACAGCAGAGTGGGAAGAGCGAATCAGGGGAATCTGTCCGCAACGCAGACAGCTCTCTTTTCTGTTTGGCAAAGATTATCACATTCAACTTTCCTAATGGACTTACAGTGTTGTAAAAATGTTGCTTCTTCATAAATATCTGGAAAATCTCTCAGAATTGCAAATAGTTTTTGCCTACCACGAACAAATTGTTAATTATAAAGGAAAGTAATTGTGTAAATTTAAATAATGAACAGACATTGGGTATTTTTAAACAGAAAGAAGTTGCACGATTTTGAAAACACTGTTATCATGCTGGTTCCTTCTCGCTAAATGCAATCCAATTACTCTTCAATGTGAGAGATCCGTTGTTTTGTCACAAATTTTGAAAAGACTTGCGCTGTTTGATAAAAAAAAAAAAACATGAATGAAGGTCAAAGTGTCCTTGATTCGAAGAGTGGATCGTAGGTGAGGGAGAAACTCATCTAAATGCACCGCTTTACTCAGATACTTCTTTTAAAAGACTCTTTTTGGGGAACTTCATTTTCTTAAAACTATCCTCCAATTGTAATATGATGTGTTTGTTGCTTGAATTTTGCATATTATCACTTAAAAAGAAGTATTGATGTAAAATATTTTTAAAACTTGGCAATACTTAGTGATAAATAGTTTTTGCCAGTTTTTCACATCAATTACCACAGTGTGCAGCACTGTGCCGCGAGCGCGCTCTTCCTCGCGCCCTATCTCGCGGCGTCGCAATGTCCGCTATCTGCTAGATAGCGTTAATGCACCCACTTTAAGACATTCCGCCAATTTTCCTCATCATTCAATTTAGACGACCTCCCAGCGGCGCGGCCCATGAGAACCTTGATCTACTGTACACCTACGCTGTAGACTTCATGCTCTAAATAAGAGTACTCCCCACACAGTTGCTTCAGCTTAGCTGTATCACTTTCTCATAATAATTCCAGATACACTTGAATCATTACCAGGACATCACCACCAAACCAAACACGGTTACTACATCTTGGACCAAGTCCTGTAAGGAGCTTAGCTCATCACCAACACAGTGCGAGGCTCCTGTTTGCATTTAGCCATTTCACCGTTCAGCAGTAGCGCTGTTGACTGCACAGTGGTTCCCATGCTTGGCAGCTTGCCAGCACTGCAAGGAGCAAACCCTCAATCGTTCCGTAGTGATATATGCCGAAAGTGATCCGCTTAAGCAAGCCTTAAGGGTATCCCTTGAAGGTCTTCACTGTGCCTCGAGTGCAAACTGAGAAGACTTCGCAATCACTGTCACAGATTGCCTACCTGCCAGGCAACCATTGCTCGGCCCAGCTGATTGCCTACTTTCAGGCGTTAGTCAGTCTGTTCAAGTGTTTGGATGAGCCCACTCTTCCGGCCTTACAATCCGGATCTGCTCTTCATCCAGTGCGCTTATATTTCACGGGCTTACAAGTACAAGGGAGATTTGAGGGGTCACAAAATAATGATTGTGCATGGGTTCAAACGTCGGATGATCTAAAGAAAAAGCTGCTTTGCTGAAAATGATGAGGGGGGAAAAAGACCACAGTCCAATAAGACCAGTAGTCGTTGAACCTCTAGAAACTTTGAAAAGGAACATAAATGGATAGCTTCTGGAGATTATTTTGAACTAAAATCTGTTATGCTTTTTTCTTAGAATTGAACTTGAAGCAAACCTGTGATAGTTGTTTTGAGTGCTTTGTCATATCCAAGAATTTCACATTCCATGCCTTTCTTGATTTTTCCTCTTTCAACTCTTCCAGTACAAACAGTACCTCTTCCTGGGATTTGATAGGTTTGCTCAATTGGAAATCTGAAAGGTTTGTCTAAATCTCTTACTGGGATCGGGATGTATCGATCTATTTCTTCCATTAGTTTTAAAATGACACTTGAACCTACAGAAATTAAAAATACACAAGAAAAAAATTAGACACAACATTTGAGTGCAAGACATAAAACACTTCACAACAAAAAAGTTCTACGTTTAAAAAAAGAAGAATGCATATTGGATTTTTTTTCCACTATGATTATTGAATCATAGTGGAAAAAAAAATCCAAGAAAGAAGAAAAAACTACTGAATAGAGATTTTGCTAAAATTAAAGTTTTGATCATGTAAATTTTTTTAGAAACCATATGTAGATTCAATCGATCATCAATTGATTGTCATGGATGCAAGATTAGACAACTGAGTCTGAAAATAATGTAGTTTACTTTTGCATTTCATAAAATTGTGTTTATTTTGGGAGGGGCAGAAGTCCAAAAACTCATGAGCCCTGATTTTCATTGTTTATGGTGTCCAGCAGGGTATACGAGTACTCAGACTTTCGCTTTTTTACATGATGCATGCTGAAATTGATTTGATATTTCAGCATGCAAAAAAGGCAAAATTTAAAACACCTGTGTGCCATGCTAGCTTTATCAATTGATGAGGCTAGAGCTCCAGAATTGGTGGACTTTCTTTTCTAAAATGACATGATTCAGTTGTTTATATTCAGGTACCCCACCGGTGATGAGCATCATTAAGAGTTCAATAAAAAATAAGCCTGATCATTAAAAAAAAATTCCGACAAAGTTCAGTCGTAGCAAAGTGATTCTTCGGCAAGACTTCACCTGTATTGCCACCTTGGCTGCATCACTTATGCTTATTGGTTTTGATATGCAAGAGCCACCACAAGTCTTAGTATTGCTGATTGATGAACCTAATAGGCAGAAACGACGGTATAAACTTCAACTGTTGATGACATCTCAAGTTTTGGGAAAAGCAAAGTTGATGTCTGTTAATAATTAAGTAGAAATTTGGAACACTGTGAGTACGATGCAAGGATTTCATAATGTCTTCGTAGTTCAATTCCCGGACTTTTTGCTCCTCTCTGACTAACAAATTGTCAAATTTTCTCACTTTCTTTGACCTTTGAACAGCTTTTCTGCCTTACCATATGGGCGGAAACCATGCCGTTGATGTCTATCGGTTGATTTAATCACTAGTGCAATTGAGACATAGCACTCATGATATATTTTCACACTTGAAATATACCCACACAAAAGGAAAGGACAACATAAAATGGAACTTAACGAGCCCCAATGAGTTATCAAATGGTCAATATTTCTCCTTACCGATGTCGGGATCAGTTCCTTCCAAAGCTTTGAGGGCTGACCCTTTGATAATGGGAATGTCATCTCCAGGGTATCCCATTTCTGAAAGCAGCTCTCTAATTTCTATTTCAACCAATTCCAACATTTCAGAATCAGCTGCATCGACCTAGAGAAGAATTCACAATGTAATAAAACAAAGCATTTGTGTGGGATGATTCACAAGAGTCGGATAAAGTTTCTGATTTTGCATTTGTAGATATTCATGTTAACAGGGGTGCAGAAATTTCCTGCCCACTCGACTCGCTGGGTGCCGATCGCATGAAATGGGAGAACCCCTGAAAGAAAAGGAAAAAAGAGAGGAGCCCTATGTGAAAAACTGCAAAACAATCATGGTTCGTGAAACAACTGCGTCTGTCTGGACCAAACCTGAGGGTGTTATACCCTGACTCTACATTGTGGAAGGAAAAACACTCCAAAATTCAGTCACCCCAGGATGCTGCCAGCCTTTTTTAGATATGAGGAGCTACAACCACCTGACTTGGAGCCACTGACGCACTTACATCACTCATACGTCATGATGACACATTTTCGAATGAACTTCACAGAATGCTGCATATATGTCCTGGAATTTTCTTTAATAAGAGTATAATGTGTGTTCTTCCATAATCAATCTACTGAAGCCCTGTAGAGAATTGGCTGAGAAGTATAATAAGGTCAACAAAAGCCATAATTTGTAGGGTAGGAGGAACAGTATCATATTAAGCTACCCAGAATCCAAAATGGGTAAGAAAAATTCCAAAAAGTTGTATCTACGTGGATTGAGGTCACAAAATATTAGATCATGTTCTTTTGTCAGTCTTGGTACGACTTGTGGATCCATCAACTAGAAAAATTAGACGAAAATGCCACATATCATAGATAAGACGTTTTTTTGGGTTGCAACCAACTAACTGTACTTAGAATGGCTTTAGAAGCATATTTCTTAGTGGAGCGATCGGTTACCGATTATATGGTATGGTGAGCCAATGGGTCAGTTGCGCTGGTCACAGAATCGTGTTATGATGCTTGATTCTTGCAGATAAGCTAAACATAATAAGATCTGTCTAGACCGCAGCTTTCTGCGTTCAATAATAACCAGGATACTGCCCTTTGAAAAGTTGGGTTTTTGACGTCATCCACTGCGGCAGTGACACCCTTGGTTTCTTTAACTTTGCTTTCGTCAGTCAACGTGACTAGCAACAGCACTACGATGTGTTTCACAGCTCGTCATCTTCTGAGCATTATCTTTTTATTAGGATTTTTTTGGTAAGAAGCTTCTGCATCAACCCCACAACTTACTCCCCAGAAAACTCAAAAATTGCTTGCACATGTCTACCGTTTTTTGAAGCTCAAACTTAATATTTTCTTTAATTTACTCTGTAATAGCTGTGTCTCAGGCACCAAGGATTAATCCTAGTCAACACGTACAGCAAACAAACTGGAGGCTTCAAGAGAACGATTGATTTTGGATGTTTTGTCTCTATTTATTAGAAATTGAAGTTGTATAAAAAATCGTTAAATCGAAGGTCAAGCAATATAGCAAGCAAGGTTTCACCTTACTAATTAAATTTGCTGCATGTTTTCCTATGTTTCTCTGGAAGAGCTTTCTATTTGAAATTGAAACTTTCCATTTAGAGTCTATTAACTTTAAAAAGAATTCTTTTCGATAAAATTGAATTCAATACTCACTTTGTTAATGAACACGACTAAATGCTCAATTCCGATTTGCTTCGCTAGCACAAGATGCTCTTTTGTTTGAGGCATGACACCATCTGTAGCAGCCACTACTAAAATGGCACCGTCCATCATGGAAGCTCCTGTAATCATATTCTGAAGGAAAAAAGAAAAAAAGAAAAATGTTAAAGGAAGAGGGAGTGAGAAATTAATTTGATACATATTAATACGGCATATTCATTAAAACAAAAATTGCATTCATTGTATTCAAAATACAAATTTACATACCAAACAAACTAATTACATACCATCAGATTTGAGTTCAAAAGCTCTTGTGAGCTTCAAAAGCTTTGAGTGAAACTGTGAAGTGAATCGATGGAAATTGATTATTTAAACTCGAGTAGATCAAAGATTTTTCTTCAAGTTTAAACACTCCTTTCCTTGATATTTAATATAACTGAACTATGTGTTCATAAAATTAATTTTAATTTTTGTGAAACTAATCATGATTGCAGGAATAAAATGAATGATTCATGATTAGAATAAAAAATTCATCCCTTGCATCCAGAAGCTAAATTCTGACTTACAGTTGTATGCAGTCTTTCATTCTGTTCCTATGTTTTGAGGATTCAGTACAGAAAAGGATGGGCCAGATCAAAATGATCTGGAAGAAATAGAGAAATGTATAAATGTCGCAGGCAAATAGTCAAATTAGGCATTTGGTAAAATGCCTAGGCAATAGTCAAATATTCTTACTTAGGGCCAGTTCTATCACCTCTGGTCAAATCGCTGGTTACATTTGACAAGAGGAAAAACACCAAAGTAGCGTTTTATCACTGCTTATAGAATGATATGAATAATATGCACTGATAGAACGGAATTTTGTTTGATGAGAGGATAAACAATTATCCTCTGGTTACGTAGCAAGCAGATTTGACTAGGGGTGATAGAATCGGCCCTCAGACTGAAATTCTGATTATTTTGCCAACTAAGGACAAAATAATTCTCTGATCATGTAGAAAGGAGTTCTCTGTAAAAATTTACTTCATACAATGATATAGAGGTTTTTTCTAGTTGTTAAATGCACATTTATCTCAAAATATACAGCATTGTACAAAATAAAGTGTTTCCACAATTTGGACGGTTGAGGAAATATGAGGAGTATTTTGGAACGGGAAATACAATGACAGTCTGTACTTTTATAGATTTTTACTTCCAAAATATTCGAGATGTCTTTGAGAAAACATAAGAAGCCTCCTAAACTCAGAAAATTCAACTATCTGCCTTGGCATTCGATGAAATGCTTGATTTGACCATTCGCCTGAGACATAAATAAATGGATAAAGAATAAATTGTACCTTAATATAATCAGCATGCCCTGGACAATCAGTGTGGCTGTAGTGCCTGTTTTCCGTGTTGTATTCAACATGAGCAGAGTTGATGGTTATTCCACGAGCTTTCTCTTCTGGGGCTTTGTCAATATCTTCATAGGTTTGAGCTTTGGCAAGTTTTTTATCCGCAAGAACTATAATGAGAGAGAATGCAACAGAAATGAGTTGTTATAATACTTTTAATTTTCCATTTTGTAATATTGGATCTATTTTTTTGCCGGAACTAAAAAATTCGACAAAACTTGCTTCCAGGGTATCTGGCAATTTTCTAAGAAAAAAAAAATCCCAGATACATCCCTGAAATCCCAAACAAAAACAGTAAATAATAATAAAAAAACAGTAAGAAAATTTAAAATTTCTTTACATTAAGTGTCATAGGTATTTCAAGTTAAAGAAATGAAATTCCAGGTTGAACTGTTCGGTGTGTTTGAGAAAAAAGTGTCATGATTTACCCATCAATCTCTTTAGAAAAATCTGAAGATTCAATTTCTAAAATCTCCGACGCATAAATTTTTCCTTCTTTGCAAGATATTTTCGATAAAAAATGAACCCCGTGTTATTTTCCATAAGGGCCCCAGAAAGATCAGCTAATCAGAGACGACTCATAAAAGTAGGGGACGCCACTCAGCCCGCAATTGCTGTTCTTGTTTTCTCTTTAATCTTCATCAGAAAATCGTTTATCGATTTTCGAGTCTAAACTCTAATAGACTGATTTGGTGGCTACATCATTGATCGCATTGATTTGAATCAGAACAAAGAAACATAACCTGACAACATAAAAATTCGATTTGAGATAATTGTGTTAATTTATACAATTTAGTCATTGATAGGTCATAAATTAATGAAGGACTTATTAAACACAAGAAATTTTGATGTCAAGAAACACTTAGATGCATTTTACTACCATGACGCAAGTCACAGACAGGGTTACGTCTTTGATTACAATTGAACCATGACGTAGCCACTAAATCAGTCTATTAAGGAGGAAGGGCAGGGAGGAGAGAGAGAGAGAGAGAAAGAGCGGTTGATTCTCAATAGGAAAAACTGACAATGTTAAAATTGGACTGAACTGAAAATTGCAAACCTTTAGTTATGGCTGCAGTTAGGGTTGTTTTTCCATGATCAACATGACCAATAGTTCCAACATTAACATGAGGCTTTTCTCTGGCGTAAACGAGTTTTTCTGCGAAGTGCCGCGATAATGACAAGCAAGGCAAAGAGACGTTCAGGACTTTTCCACTGAAATTCTGTTGGGGAGATAGAAGAGAGAAAAAGATGCGATTATATTGTTGAACATTTTTTTACAAAACCACGAATAGGAAAATAAATGAACGCAACTGAGTTGAAAGAAGCCACACTTTGAAGCAAAGAGTCAAATATAAATTTGACAGCAAACTTTACTTGCACCTCTGTCAAATGATTGTAAGTACAAATATTAAAATAGCCTTAAAGTAATTAGATACAAACTTTATTCTGGTCTCTGATGTGCTTGTCCAAAATACCAGGAAAAAGGTGTGTAAAGGGTGCTTTCAATACTGATGTTTCTTTCTAGGTATTTTAACTCTCAACAGTTGTACTTCAAGTTGCTACTCCACAAAACGAGCTAGGCTCAGGGTGGAGATAGAACATTTTTGTAATTATTCGTGTTTTTTTTTCAGAATAAATAAACCTAATCTAATCTAATCTAATCAACTGAAATAATGAACTGTTCTCAAAACTACCACAAAGTAAAAACTTCTTGGTCAAGCCATCGTATGATTATTTTAGAACAAGCATGGAGTATTGAACAAGATTTCAGATGAAGAGTTTCATGATGTATCTAAAAATTCAGGTCTCAGATTCATGAGGGATAAAACCCCCGAGAATTTAAAAAAGATTAAAACAACAAGAACACTTCCACAGAATAGTGGCTGCTGAGAGGCATGACACTGAAGAGATCCACTCTCAGATTCATTCATCTTCTTTGTGCATACCGCCTGAGAGCAAAAAATTTATGTTCTTTCAGTTATGATAATGAAAATAAAAGATAATTTTGAGGAAGACGCATACCGAATATATAGAGATATCTCTGCTGAAAAGTAACTGCTTCACAGAACGGCAAGACGCTGAAAAATATGAAGTTGGGAATTAGCTTATGCAGAATATCAAATGCAACCTCATCCTTGAATTTTGGAAGTGATAGATTAGGGAAATGAACTTCATTTCATGCGCGAGAAGCTTGGTAGCTCGCTGAAGTATCTTGACTGATACATGACTTGGTTGATTTTTTGTGTCTAATTAACAATGATGAAGTACAGTCATATTTTAGTGTGTGGTCCTTATCAATGTCAATTAATCTGATCCAGAATACTAACTTGATCATAGTACCAGTAAGCCAATTCTTAAAGAGCAGCCATGCTACTCAGCGACTCTATAGGGACTTCAGTTAATCAATTTCCGCCAACATGTTGCTATGTAAACGATATGTAATAACGTACATACATATAATATGAAAATGAAAACTTCAAAAGAGAGCTTGAGCCTCCCTCATGAGTACCAATAACTACTAACGCAAACTAGGCCTACGGCTGAGCCAGCAAACAGGAGGAGAATGAGAGAGCAAATGAAGCGGCCGATAAAGAGAATGATGAGTTCTCAAGGCATGCGGTAAACAATTATTATGGCTTTAATGTTGAAGATTACATGAAAAGTTTTTCGGTAGAAAGATGGGTCGAGTCGCCATAATTAACACAGATTACAGCATGGTCTGCAGGTATCACAGGCAAGGTGGAGACTTCGGAATGCACCGGGTGAAAGAGCAATTTAAATTTACCTGTGTTCACGATTAATTTCGCGGACATTAGAGATGCCATACTGAAGAATGGCACAAAAACTATCCGAGGAAAAATCGCTTTCTTAGACTGTGATAAGCGAAAAAAAAACTACACTTTCCCAAGTTTTATGCACTTTTCGGAGTTGATGAAATTCGATGAAAGTTGAATGGTGAATGATGCACTTTGTCGCCGCACAATTCTTTTTAGGTTAAGTGTTTGTTTTGATGAAATTTGTTGTGATATGGCACCAGGCACCTAATGCCAAGCATACAGTCGAAGATTTTTAGAATATTCTTTAAAAATTCATTCCCTTTCACATTATTTTGAAGTTTGTAATATAAGGATGGACAGCCTTTTACTTGTAAGTGTTTGAATACATTCTACTTATCCATATATTGCTTTGGTACGGCAAGAATGGCAGCCAACTCATCCCAGTCTTGGCTTTAGCTTGATGGAAGTCAAGCATTCGACAGTGTAAGACGGCAATCACATAACTTGTTTAGGGGGTCTGAAAATCTCCGCCTCTAAGTTATTTATTTAAAGGAGAACAAATTGGCATCATTTCTTGAAGTTTTTCCAGAATTTTCTTCGCACAGAGAAGAAAAATCACGGCGGTCTTAAAGAACTGCTGTTGAGTAGTTTTCCGTTTAGAAAATAAAGTATGATAGGAAGTCTGCGACGTTGCAAACCGAGTTATGTGAGTGCAGACTTACACCGTTAATTTGTTGACGCTTGAAGCTGTGGAAAAAAGCAAGCTAAAACTCATCAGTAATGAGATGACATAGTACTGATGCTTCTGAGAGCAATTGCATGTCTGGGAATTCAGTTTGGCATTGCTTTTAGAGACCAAGGCTTGTCTTCTTCCCAGACGAGCAAATGCTCAATTAAAGCTTTGTTGGCATAGTGTTCTCCATTTGCAATGGAATCTCATACGGCAGTGAAATTTTTCTGTCAGAAGCAAGTCTCTATTGGGGCAGATTTACTCCACGGAAGGGAGAGCAGCCGCCTAAAGTGCAGTAAGAACAGAAACAATTTTCTCATCTAGCACTTCCCTGCAAGTATTAATATTCCGATGTTGATTTGTGAAAGATAACTGTTGCAAACTATTTGGAGACAATATTACCTGATGTCGAACAGTCAAATTTTTGGACTCTATCTGAAGTACCGCATGACTCCAGCTTACACAAGCATGAAATAAAATAACAGAGAACCCTGCATACATACTCTGTTAAATTATATAATTTTAATAATATTAAGTATGTCTTTACTGATATGCTTGTTCATAGTGCTTCTAACCTACAGACGCCAAATGCGCCTAAATAATCAGTCATGGTGCCTACAATATGAAGGCTCTGCGCCAACAAGGCCTCGAAACCCTCCCAAGAAATCCTAATTTTGCTCGTTGGTGATGTTTCGAAATTTCAACGCTTGGCACTAGATTGAACTAGCAAAAAGCCAGCTCGTGTACAACTTTCCCGCCTTTTAAAATTTGGCCTTTGGCCCTTAAAAATCGGGCGGGATGGGCCTCATGGCTTCTAAAACTCATAGATGAGTTTGGAACACTGCTTGTCAAATTTTACAAAAAATGGTAAGTTTCGTCTACCTTGTATAGGTGAAATAAGTCAGCTTTTTACAGAATTTGACGTACTCGTTAGGGGAAACATAATTCTAATATTTTATTAGTCACGCGCATGTCATCAATTATCTTATACGCATGCCTAACATTTCTATCTGATTCTCATTGGCCTCTAGAGGCTCATAAGACTATTGAGTTGTGTTCAGTAAGCACAACCTAATATTATCGGATAAGTTTACTAAAGGATCAAAAAGCCCATCATAACAAGCATATTTCAATATGGAAATTTTTCATTCAAACCGGATGCGTTTTGGACCGTGGCCATTATTAGCATGACAACCAAAAATATCACAGTTTAAGAACAAATCAAATTAGAATGCTTAGTTTGATTTGATCCATCTGTATATTTTATATATGTTCAGGTAAGTGAAATTGGTTTTCTCATTAAACTTTGTTTGATTTTTCAGGAGCCCACTTTATATACCATCAAAGGTATGGCAATTTTGGACAATGATGGGAACCGGATACTTGCAAAATATTATAATCCATCCACATTCCCAACTGCAAAAGAACAGAGGGCTTTTGAAAAAAATCTCTTCAATAAGACCCACCGTGCAAATGCAGAAATTATTATGTTAGATGGTTTGACTTGTGTGTACAAAAGCAACGTTGATCTCTTCTTCTATGTGATGGGCTCATCACATGAAAATGAAGTAAGTCGCAATATTAAATTTGACTTTATAACCAGACTCAAGTTCCCCAATAATTACGTAAAGTATCTGTCAACACTTTCTCATATTTTTACCTTAAATTCTCAATTTTAATTTTCATTTCAGACTAGTCAATAGGGATGGCTGGATTCTGTTCATTTTTCGTATTTTCACTCCAATTATCTAGCCATCATAAAAAAGTCATCTTATAAAATTAATGACTAGACTTGCAACTGATAGCTCCACTGATTATAGCCAGCCAATCGCGTATAGACTTGAAGTATCCCCACCCGTGACGTCATCAAGTCTATAAAAGCAAGTGCTGCCCAATATTCCAGGTCTTTTCCATGCCTGACCCATGTGTACACATTTTACAGTCTATCAAACCCTTCTAGCGTACTTTAGTTTATAGTGTGACTTCTCTTTTAATTTCATCTTTTTCAAAATTCAATACAAACTCTTTCGACTTCTCAAAATTTTTCTATTTTCTTCAGCTCTCCCACAATTTCTCCCAAAAGACTTCCAAGTCTTATTTCTAACATGGTGCCTCAATCTAATCTTATTTATTACAGTATCATTATTGTTCTGAAGTCTATGTTTGCCTCCGTATTCTGAAGGAGAGATCACAATTTCAGCGCCAGTGATGCAAGCGCTTTTGAAAAAAATAATTGTGGAACAGGCTTACTGCCATTTGTCAGTGATTGATGTCAGCCTAAATCGAGTTCCTATTCACTTTAAAGCCAGAGTTAAAAGTTATGCGACTGTTCTAACCACTAATACAAAACTTGTTGATATTTTAATTTATTTACCTCAGTTGATCTCTTTTTTATATTGTGTCTGGGTGTTTTTTTTTTTTTTTTTTTTTTTTTTTTTTAAGAATCTGAAAAGGTTCATTGAGGACCATTGTAATGTTCCATTCATTTAAATGTTTATAATTTTTTTCCCTATGATTTTTCAGCTCATATTGATGAGTGTGCTGCAGTGTCTCTTTGACTCAGTTAACCAGATTTTGAGGAAGAACGTAGAAAAAAGGAATGTAATGGAAAATCTAGATATAGTAATGCTAGCCATGGATGAAATATGTGATGGAGGGTGAGAAATGTTAAAATTACAGTTTTAATCCCACTGTATCCTCCTTTCAATAAATGTAATCTTAAGGGTGCAGAAAGTTCCCAGCCTTACCCCATTTTTAACCTAAATTAATAATAATTTCCTCCTGAAGACTAATAAAAATACCTTTATATCCACAGTTGGACTTTTCTACTGTTCGATGTTATAGAACCGTAATATTCAGTCAAATTAGATGAGCTAATTTTTCCTTCGCTAACAGTGGTCTCCCTGTTTTTTCCATTCCCTTAAGGGTTTCCCCATTACATACTTCCGTGTGGGTGGCTCTGACATTTCTGCACACATGTGTAATTGGGAGTCACATCAAACCAAAATGAACTCATTGATGCTAGAGGAACTATGTAAAAATGAATAAAATCAAGAGGAACTTTAAATAAATTCTTCGTACGTACTTAGTTCCTTTTGATTTTATTCATTCGTACATGGTTCTTTTCAGCATAAATACATTCAAGTGACATACCCAAAGCATTTTGAGAGGTTGTAGGAAGCAAGATTGCTGAAGTGCTGAAAGGAATCATGGATTTTTTAGTGAATTTTATCATAGAATACCGCTAGAAAAAAACCTCGCTACATATTCTCATGTTATATTTGCCAATTTGAAGAAACCGTAGTTAATCGACTAGATTATACTAAGTCAAAAGACGTCTTAGTTTCACTCATATCATTTTCATTTCTGATATGAGGGATTCAAACTCTTGAAAAATCCAGTGGATGAAAAGTAATCTTACGAGTATAAGGGTGCGTGAGAAACCAATATTTTACTTACATTTTTGGAGTGATTAGGAAACCTTCTGTTCAATGGGAAATTGAAAGCTGCTTCTGACTTAACACTTCTTTTGGTTCTCTTCCAATCATTTACCGTTCATTAGAAAATAACAGGTGAACTTTTCAGTTAACAGTATGTTTGAGGCAGATAAAAAATAAACCGATTATTTGCTAACCAACATGTTCTTTCATAATGACCGTACCAGATTTCAAAAATATGTTTCATATACATCCATTCATCACAAAGACTTTCCATTGAGTTTGATTCAGTACCTTCTTTTATTTCTTTTTCAGAATTATTTTAGAAGCAGATCCTATATCTGTAATGCAAAGAGTAGCAGTAAGGACTGATGATATTCCTCTTGGAGAACAGACGGTTGCTCAGGTAAAGATTTTTTCTTTTGAATATGCTTCATAACTACTGTTTCTCCTGAGAATGAAGACTCTTATACGCTGCAGGTGCTTTCTCACTCTTAAACGTTTTAATGCAGTTTAAGTGAAAAAATTCAAGTTGTGTTCAGGGGTGCAGAAAAAAATTTCCTCACTAAGCTGTGTGGAATCCCAAATTTAGTTTTCGTGAAAAAGACTCTAATTTGGACATACATCTACCAAACAGAACTATGTACGAGTGGGAAAGATGGAGGTTGCTTGCATTGAGCTGGATAAGAAACAATGTAAAAGTGGGCCCGATTCTTTTTGAAGAATTGGAAAAGTGGGATTTTAAATTCACCAATCGGAACTATGTGCCAACTGTATGCAGGGCTCATGAGCCAAGGGCATGGGACAAGAGCGTTGTGGACAGGGCTCATGAGTTTAAGACTTGTATCCATGGAACGTCGGCTCGGTCGTCACGGCTGACATCACTGGTGCTTTACAATTTTCATTCATTCTTAAGGCCCTCAACTAACCAGCACACCTCATTTTCCTACCTGCACATAGCTCTGTTTGGTAGAAATACGTCAATTTAGGGAGTTTGATGTATAAATATGACGTATGTCCTGATAAAGAATCGACAAAGATTTCTGTCATTTAAGCAGCTATCAGTAATAGATTCTGCACTCCTACCTTGTAAGGAAAGGAAGACCATAATTTGCTGGAAAACTTAAATGCAATCTCATCGCTTTGTATGGTACTGCTCAAGGATATGCTCAACTTAAAAATTAGCTCCGCTGATGAAAGCTCTAAGTTATGTAATGAAGTTTTTCTATCAAGCTTCTTAAATGATATTATTGGCTGGGGTATATTTTATTTTAATGTCTGCTGACTTCTGGGTTTCAGGTGTTTCAAACTGCAAAAGAACAGCTCAAGTGGTCTCTACTAAAATAGCTTTCCAAAAGTACAGATAAGATTAAAAATCTCATATTGTACAGTTTTTACATCCCATTTATATTGTTTTTTTTAAATCTATTATATTTACTTGTTATGTTGTCTAAAAATATTTGTGTGGTTAAGTAAAAAAAAAAATGAAATAAACAAGCAGATATATTTTTAGGCTGTCTGTATTTATGGAAAAAATAAAAGTCTCTCCATCCAGAAGATCCGAGTTTCCTTCCTTGAATGGTCTATTGATCATATTTGTTTTTACTGTTGAGAGGGTTCCTCTTGTTTCAGAAAAGTTTACCTTTTTCACCTGTTCATGCCGATACCGCAACAGCTATGCATGTAAACAGATGAAAAGGGTTTGAGCATATTTGAAACAGGGTTTGTTAGTTACTTTTATTGTGATAATATTATTTCCCTATTTGTTCCGTAAACAAAGTGCTTTCCTGGCTTCTGCAAAGTTGAGCAGGGTCTCCCCTCAACATCACTAATAATTATGTTAAAACTTCTAAAGGCTGTAATTATAGTGGTTCCTAAAACGGTTCTTTTCCTAGAAGAGGTTAAATATGGTTTATGCTGTGACTGAGGGAGATTTTGAGAAACCTGTTACACAGCATCATAAAAAAGGATAGTTTTTGCGAACTTCTGATAAAATTCAGCAGTATAACTTTGGCAACAGATTCTTGTAAGATATTACAATGATTTGAACTGTAAGAAGTACAAAATATAAGTAAACAAATTCTACGTGGTGTAAGAACTTAGAGGTATAGTTATAGATGTACCTTAAAATTTGCAATGCTTGAAAAATATATTTTTTTAATTGTGTTTTTTGTAGCGGTATATCTTTGTTATACCTTGCAAGAATGCATTTTCAAGGTTATGCTTCTGAATTTCACTTGAAGTTTCCACAAATTTTCTTTTTCACTATTATATGTTGAGGGCATCCTAAAAACTTCCTCAGTCACAATGTACACCATATGGAACCTCCCTGGAGAAAGCAGCTGATCAAGGAACCATTGTGGAAGCGACTCTGAACTAATTGAAAGGTGATAATACAATTTTCAATGCGCTCAGGGCCAAAAAGAAAAAAAGAAAAGGGTAAAATTATTCTTGGATGTCACTTAAGAAAATAATTTTTTCTGATCCTAAATTAAATAAAAAAACATTTTGAAAGGAATGAAAAAAATTATATTTTACATTTTACGTCAATTATGTATAAATTTATTATACAATACCCTCTCACTAAAATTCTTGGAGACAAAAGCCTCAGGAGAAGCCATCTGTTTGAGCAAAAATAAAATCACAGTTTTATGTACAAGCACTAGTGGTTTTAGAAGAATTTTCTTACTGCAAACTACTTGCAGTCGTTTATTTGAGGGCTCAAGCTTTACTTTATTTTTTTTTTTTTAAATAGAAAACTCTCCCTTAATTTTATTTTCTGACTGAAAAATAACAAAAAAGTAAAAATTGACAAGGGGCCAACCATGTTCAGTCCAGCATTGTGTGCCATTATGCTGCAAGGTTTTTCCTCACTATTTTCAACTTAGAATCTAGATTATTTGATATTTATTTATCCTTTGAATCCAACAGATGAGTTTTCTCAACTCTTCTGAAATTGTTGCCTATACAGCGGAAGGACAAATCTCTCGGCCTTAAACTTTTTATTATATTTTCTAAGCTAGCAGGTGTATGGTTGATTGCTACCTGTGGTGATGCTGTCTGCTGATAATGAGATTAACTACAGTTTGGCAAAGTCATCGCAAGGTTCTGCTGCAGTTGTTATTAAAAGCCATGCTCAGGATTCAAAGGATTGATATTCACTCTTTCGCCTTCAGATTTTTTCGAGACACTTGTACTTCATCAGTTTTCAATTGAAAAGCATTGAAAAATGGTTGCTTATGGCTAAAATTTACTTCCTGTTTTTTGTCTTTTTGCATGTTATTTATGAACTATCAGTTTCAGCGACATGTTAGTTCTGAACAACGGAATTTTTTTAGTATTTTCAACTTTTGACAGGATGAAGTCACGGTCGGTGAGGGGAGAGCTTGACCTGCACAAAAAGTGTATGCCAAGGGAAGAGGGAAGTTTTAAAACCTAATTTTTAGCAGGATGTAATTTGAAAAGGGTCTCCAAGACGGCAAAAACACAATTCCTACATCTGCAAAACTCATGCATCAAATAGCTTGTGGCCTATTAAAATGAATTGTCTTTTCATAGATGACATAAAACTCAATACATATGTAAATTTAAAGAAAAATACTCATGAAAAAGACATGTAAACACACGAAATGCCAAGGTCAATCTTTTGGTAATAACTTTTCTGATTGTGAGTGAGCAAAATTATCAAAAAAATCACTTTGATAAAAACAGAAAAACGAGGAAACCTCAAAAGTTGTCATTTTAAAATACAATAGGTTTTTAGGAATATCACAAGGCATAACAGTGAATAGCTTTAACAATGTGTTTATAATGGCTGACTTGAAAGAAACATGTACCTTCGAGTGTGATGTTGCAAGTCTTCACCGGGGTATTATCCTTTTGGAAAAAAAAAACACTAATCAACAATTTTTGTTTCAATTTTCCTTAGGTTTTCTCTACTCACTCAAAAGTATTTGCAAAAAACTTCCAAGAGGTATATTAGTTACTTTCTTTTTGAAAAATTGAAGCATAGTCAGATCAAAAATCTTCTTCTAATGTTGCAATGGAGGTACATATTTTTTTATTACAGTCATGGATACCAGATATACATTATTATTCTTATTGCCCTCAGATTTTGTGAAATTCCACCACAAAAAAAAAAAAAACAGCAAGAACGTCGATCCAAATATTCGAGCACTTCCACTATGATGATGCTTGTTTTATGTGTAATGGAATTTTGTTCTTTGATTTAGAAGGCTCATTCCAGGGTTGAATCTTCCCCGAACCAAAAACAGCGTAAATTAAGCTTGATGTTATCCCGATGACAGCAGTTACCACAAACACTCTTCGCCATAACTCAATAGAAGACTGAAATTCCAGAGAAAAAACGTTATCAGTAAAAACAATGATGGGTTGACACATATGTAGGAAAATTTTGGAACTATGTACTGAAATGGACCTTAATTTTTTACATTTGAAAAAGGAATAGATAGAGGCCTTAAAGGGTAAAGTTATGGAATAGGTATGCCTAGGGTGCGGCTTATTTTATATTAGGGTGCGACAAGGTCCGGGTGGCAATCGATGATACCTATGAAAATAATAGACTGTATAAAATTTGAGCCAATTTGAAGCTTTTCTAGTTGATGCTCAAAGGGATCAAAACTAAGGGGCAAAATTACATTGGTTTAAATGGGCGGAAAAACGCCTGATCTGCGCAAATGCGTTTTTAGTCGTGCGGCGAAGCCGTATAGACTCTAGGTTTCGCCGGAGGCTAAAAAGTGTCCACACTTTTAGGCTAAGTCCAAGAGGAGAATTTTCGAGGAACCAAGTAACATATGAGGTATTGATATCGGTGCATTTTGGCCCAATGGAGATGTTACATGTGCGAGGAATTTGCAATTTAACTGTTGATTCTTGTATAAAAGTTCGCGAGGAACACAATGGTGCCACTGGTTTTCTCTGAAATCATCTCCCAAGCTCAAAAAAAGCTCTCAAGTTGAGGCCAAAACGGAGGGGATATCCCACCTTACCCTGAGAGTCCACGTCTACATGAAGACAAACTCTCCATGCAAAGATAGGGAGCAAATACATCAGCAGGGTTGCCGTGTTTTCAGTTTTGGAGTCCCCAGATAAATTGGTAGCCCTGTCAATGTATTAGCTCCCTATCTTTGCATGGAGAGTTGGTCTTGATCTAGACTTGGACTCTCAGGGTAGG